CAATTCAGAGAAAGAATGGAAGTACATTGGGAGCCAATATCCTTTCAGGTGGGACAACCGGAGAAAATGTATCTGTATCCAAAAATAAATCAAAGAGTTTAGGTGGAAGAATAGATTCATCGGACATTTTTCAAAGTCCAGGGCCTGTGCATGATATTATAGTTTGTTGGATAGATCAACATGATGTAGGCAAAGGTGAAGGTTTCAAACGCCTTCAGCTTCTCCTCATTGAACTCATTCGTTCTGGCATTTTTTTTATCCTCCAGCCTATGTGAGGTAGTTCATAGTCAGTGGCATTATGGACAGGAGTGAGACTCTGGTGGATTTGGATAGACAAAAGAGACACTATCATGTTTTGAAGCAGATGCCTGGGGCTTACATGCTTGATTCTTTCGAAAAAGCTCAGATTGCTGATGTTCCAATTCTAGAGGAGGCCCTGCATGTTTATGCAAATGAACGTCGGCTTCTGCTTCTTGGACTTCTTAGTGATCATACAAGCCACTCCAAAAATGGGAATGATGTAAGTTTCTGTTCCCAAAAACAAAAGGATAATCCAAGTTCTGGACGAAATGCAGCTTCTCCTTCTTCCCTTGAACACTTGAAAAACCTTCGCTCAGCATCCAGTACCTTGTCTGGCAGAGATGCAAAAAATGAAGGTCCAAGTTTCAGAAGTAAAGGCTGCCATTTCAATGTAATTGCATCTTCCAAGCTCTTATTCTGCGGCCTCAGATACACGATCTGGTGAATCTCAATGGAGCTGCAAAAGGTCCATTGGGCCAATTAGTAACAAATTGGATGTTACAGAAGGAACACCTGGGTGTGAAGAATGCACGAGGTTAAAGAAGCAGAAATTAAGTGAGGACAGGAGCTCATATACGCATGGGTTTTTAAAAGAAGCAGAAATTAAGTGAGGACAGGAGCTCATATACGCATGGGTTTTTACAAAATCCATCAGATGATGAAGATAGCTTGTGGGTGAGGAAGGGTCCCAAATCCATGGAGTCACTTAAAGTTGATCGACCTCTTAAATCAACCAAACATGCATCAAGATGTCGGCAAATAATTGTGCACAAAACCCAAAGCCTGGCTCAACTGGCAGCTACTAGGATTGAGGATAGTCAAGGAGCATCAACAAGTCATGTATGTTATAATAAAATAGGCTGTCCTCATCATAGAACTGGTACAGAAGGAGATGTTTCTAAGCCATCAGATGGCATGAGAACTGCACATCTTGGTGATGTTTCAATTGGTAAAGCTTTGAAACATCATATTCTTGTTTCAACCTACTCCTGAGTCTGATTATCAACATCTTCTACAGCAATAAGGAGATTTTTCTCTGAGAACTATTTAGCAACTCTTCCGATGCCTTGGGCAAAATCTAATTTGAGGGCTTGACAGACGAGAAAGTTAGATGCACAGCTGGAACTCTTCATCCATATAGTCACTGACAAAACCAACAACCCTCTGTCCATTATCAACAGTGGTGTTGGCATGACAAAGGCTGATCTGGTAAACAATCTTGGTACAATTGCAAGATCTAGAACCAAAGAGTTCATGGAAGCCTTGGCTTCTGGTTCTGATGTTTGCATGATTGGGCAGTTTGGTAGGACCAATGGAGAAGATGGGCCAATTACGTGGACTTTTTGGGCCACTTGGGACTTGGGTTGTAGGAAAATAGTTTTACTTTTGTGCTCTGTCTTATGCAAACGTCAATGTAGCTACACATGTACATCCCTGTAGTTCTTATTTAAAAAACAAATTAATGCCATTTCTTTCTAGTTTCTTCTATGGAACACAATTTATAGTTCAGCTCACTATAAATAATTGAGAATGCATGCAACACTAGTAGCTAAGTTTCAGTTTCACTGCATAGGGATTAGGGAGAGCTACATCAATACCTTACCTCAAGACAGCCAAACAATAAACTCATTAATTCCTGTGACATGCATGGAAATCAACTTCTTTCATCATGTATTAAAGCGACAGGAGAAGCGGGATGCATAGCAAGAAACCACTTCGAAAAGTTCATTGGCCAATGGCCACAAAAGCAAGAAAATAGGAACAAGTATACTTCATCAATTCTGTCTGAGGACATTTGGGGCCACAGCCACACCACGGCCAATTTAGGGGTGTCCCGATGTGAATGTTATTATTTATTTTTTCGTTTAGGCTCGGTTTGGAAGGATTACAAATACAAATATTTGAAATGCTATTGGTAAAAGTCTAAAAGAGTCTTATTTGCCCATAATGGCACGCCAGTGGCTAGAGAAGGGTGTAGAACCATCCAGAAAATAAAATCTGTTAATGGGTTTCAATGGTATACCTGTCCACTGTCCATCACAATTAATTGTATGAAGAGTTTAGTAGTCCAGTTCAATTGTTGACCCATAAAATGATTTTGGTAGTAACTGGTAACAAAGAAAAAGAAATTGTATGAAGAGTTTACCAAAAAGGAGCTTACAACCTACTTAATAACTTATTTGCTTAAAGACAAAGTAGTAAGTCATTCAGTTTAACTTCAGTTGTTATCAAATGGCTCCTAAGAGAACAAAAATTTATCCTTGAGAAGTTGCTGTTTTTAGCAATGCATATGGATCCTTTTGGTATAGCACAGAAACTGCTTTGTTATTTGAATAAGCTTATTAGACTGACCTGAGCTTTATTTTTCTTCTTGTAGGTTCAAAAAAGTGCTTGTGATAAGTTTGATCCCACTTTCTACCCCAGGTTAAGAAATGGTGTGATGATTATTTCTTTATTAAGGTAGTTTCGTAATAAGTTTATTATTTCTTCTGTTATATAAAGTAGTCTTGTTGATGTATATTATCTTTAATTCTTTGTAGGTGGCAGTTTGGACTAACCTCAAGGCCCTCAACAAAAGGAAGTACAGAGCCTTCATTTGCACCAATTGTTGTGACTAAAATATGAAATCAGGGTTATGAAATCATCTAATCAGGGACTAAAAGATGAAGAGCCTAGGGTTACAGGGTATTAAGTTAATGTTATTCTATTGAATAAGGGAATCACATGGATTCTATTTCTGGGTATCCAAGTGTACATGTTTAAAGGGTTCCTGGTGACCTAGATCTCTTATGGAGATGATTTCTCTTATTTCAGCCATATGCGTACTATTAATCAGATAGGGGATCGACTGAGACCATGTCAATTGGTTTGTTCTAGGTCTTCTGCTTCATTAATTACTTATTCCTACCCATTTACTTAGAGTTAACAGTTTATGGTGCAAATGTAGATCTACTAAGAGTTTATTCAGCACTGAAGATCTACTTAGAGTTAATAGCAAGATTAGCCAAAAAAAAAACAAAGCCAGCAACCAGATAGGCACATAATGGGGAAAAGTTCAGGCACATACTTGAACTGATTGAGTGTGGGGAATGGATCAGGCATAGGCATGGCATATTGTTGTGCCATCCGCTCCATGGATCAGAAAAACACTGAAATTTACAAAAAGTAATACAATTAAAAGAAATTCTAAAAGTTGGAAAATTGCACAAAACGAAAGAGGAAAATACAAAAAGGCAAAAAAATACAAAAAGATTTTTTTTTTATCAATGATACAAAAAGAATTTCCAACAGACATTTTCACAAATTTATCTTTACCATCAAGCCCATTAATGGGACAGGGGAAAATTGCTGCAATCTAAAAGTTAGTGGGCTAAGTGTCACTACCCCCAAAGTACAAGGTAGTCTGCAATTTATCCTTTTAAAGTCTAGGTAGCCCACAGCTACAACTCAAGCCCAATATTAATTCCCTACAGTCAATTTTTAGCTCATACAAGAGTCATGAGATGTGAATCAAGAAAAAATAAAGAAAACAAAACAAAAAAGAGAGATGGGGAGGAAATTGGCTTCCGCGTTCCAACCGTCTTTTGCAACCTTGCATTGGAAATATCTCCCCATGAAATAAAGCACATAAGCAGGTAGATATTCTCAATACAAGGCCATAAAAGCTGCTCGAAAGGGCTTTTGCCCTGACCAAAGCTGAACTTGGTGGGGGAGAGAGGAGATAACCAATATATCAGTATAGGGTATCTTAAGAATCACTTCCAATTAATACTGAAAAGTCAAATTAAAACTATAAGCTTGCCCGAAAATCTACATCTACTTAACTTTGGAGACTTAAAAGAAGCAAAGAAATAATACTTGGTAAACGGATTCTTATAGTTGGATGTTACATTACATTAGTTAATAACAAAATTAAAATTGCCTTTACTGTTCAAATTTATTGATAAGTTAAAGTAATAAATAAAACTAATTTAGGCAACATTGATAATTTGGTACTCTTGAAACTAACCTCTTTATGTAGCTGTTAGGATCCTCAACTTTAAACCCTCAAGAGTCAAGACCAATATTTTCAACCTGCAGTTGAATCTGTGGGTCGGATCAGTCACCCTATATATCACTCAGCTTCCGGGCCCATTTCACCCCTGAGCCAATCAATTGCAAAAACTGTTGGCCCAGTCAATGACTCGATTACCTGGCCAACTGAACCACTAAACTATTTGTCCCATCAACGGGTCATGGGTCATATATTTGTTTTCTTTTTCTTTTTCTATTTCTGTATTTTAATCAATATTTCATCCCAAGAAAAATTCTGTCTATCTTTTGTTGAATGAAATGGAGCCATGATGTGATACTCCTGATTTGGTGTTTCTATCCTGATTTCAACACTTGGTTTCTAGCATATCTAGAGTCTTGTACTTACTGAGATTTTACTTTCCAGTTTGTAATTTTATGTTTTTTCATGCAAAATCCTTTTGGTTCCCTCTAGATCATTATTAGCTTCTTAACTGGTTTCCATTCAATTCACTATGCAAACATGTAAAGAGAATGATAAATCGAAAGGAAGAATATACAGAGAAAATGACTTGTTAGAGTTGTATTTTGCACTCAATCAACAAGAACTGTGGTAGGAAGAACTGCTAACTTGGGAGTCAAATTTTGTTGAACAGCTTGAGCTCCATTTGATTGATGAGAAAGACAAGTTAAGAATTTGGTATCGGATTTTTGAGGGAAAAAGAACCAAATGGGAGAAATGAGAACATCTTTGTCTTGTAAGTTTTTAATACTACCAAATTGGTCTTCATCTCATGGCATACATCTTGGCTTCGGGTTGTGAGTAGGATTTTGCAGCACCCCCTCCTCTCCCTCTGGTTGTTGTCATCCAAATCCAAAGGGATCCCCAATTGCTTCAAATCTAAGTAATCCCACATATCATCTAAGATAATAAGAATACTCTTCTCGTTTTGCAACTTTCTTGATAGCTTCTGTGCTCTTTCCAGTACATCTTCTTTTTCTTCAAATTCTAAGGGTAACATCCCTGCAATCTCACCTTGAATTTGTTTCAAGTTTCGATCTTGGGACACCACAGCCATCACGACCTTGTCAAAAAGCTTCTCTTTCTCCACTTGTTTGCCAATTTCCTTAACCAGAGTTGTTTTGCCCACACCTCCCATCCCATAAACCCCAATGACATGGACATTTTCATCTCTCAATGCCTCTCTGATTTCCTTTATTGCTAACTCTCTGGACTTAAACATCTGAAAATCTCTGTCACACATGAATTCTATACCAAGAGGAGGAGCTGGATCAGATACAACATCAAACCTGCCACCTTCTTGAAGCTCTTTAATGCGTTTCATCTTCTCCCCTGCTTTCTTACTTAACTGGTAGCGTGAGCCACAGTTAGGATACAAGCCCTTAAAGCAACTGCCATTCTCCTTAATTTCATTATTAATGAAACTATTTGTTTCATCTACAATAGACTTCACATCTTCAAGCCATTTCGTAACACTATCCTTGATGTCTTCTCCCTTCCTCTCTACTTGCTTTATCAAGTTTTCAACGGATTCTTTCGTTTTCTCCAGTTCCCGGACTTGTTTGCTGAGCTGCTCAATGTTTTCCTTCACCTTAACCACATAATTAACACGCTGCCCAACCGCTTCGAACACTGGTCCCAACAAGCATTTTCCAATTTCTAGTACGATGGATGATATAAATTCCATGGCCATATCTGACGAAATTGCTGCAAGTGAAATTGGAAATGAACTCATTTTAATCTTTATTCCAGAATTTCATTAACAATATATAAAAAGGAACTGACAATTTCATTCTGGAGGACAGTTTTGCCTATTCATTCAATTGTATTATTAGTATAAGGTTTATGTGAAAATTTCTCCAACCTTCTTGTATAGATATTGTTGTGCCAAAAACCAAAAATTATCGTAAACTAAATCCTCCCATATTTAACTTAAGAAATACTAATTTATCAACAAAACACATCCAAGCATCCAAATTGCCTTCAAAAACACATGTACCATGAATCCTAGTCTCGAAACTTGACCATTTACCATCAAACTAGCAAGGATTATTCCATTTCAAATCAAGTTGTTTCATTCATAGAATAGTCAAAACGTAAAACACATAATTTGAACATCAAATCTAACATTACTAGCAAATTCAAGACATCCAAAAATCCTTTCATACAGTGCCGTCATCGTCTCTATGCAGGATTAGTCATGGTGCGCAAAAGGATAGTAGCAAACGTGAATAATGAGGGTTTTCGGGGATAAAGAAAGTTGATTCTTGAGAATATCTTCATGAAACACATGGCGATATCCAGTAGTATACCCAATGATTACCAACGAACAATATATTCCCTTTCCCAATACAGAGCGAAGATCCTCATCTCCTACCTTTTAGGATCTCGGCACCTTCTTCATAAATAGAGAGGATCTCCTCACATTAGGGATCATTGAATCCTAAGCATTTCTCATCACTAATACCCTCGAACCTCTATCATTCTCCAAAATACCTTTTCTCCTAATTCCCATACCAAAAAGGAGCTTGGTTGATTCTCCTTCCAGTCCATCCTTCGTCTTTCGAAGAGACTGTTCCCCAACCTAGCCTAACACCTCATCCCCACACCTCTAAGGGCTAAATTCCTGGGTATGTTCAAGCAATTTGAAATACTACTTGAGTCGATGATCATTATGATAGGATCAACCCCTTTGTAAGACAGAGAAATTATTTTGCTGCTGTATGTGAAATTGGAAATAAACTCATTTTAATTTTATTCCAGAATTTCATTCACAATATATAAAAAGGAAGTGGCAATTTTTTATGATGAATTTAAAGCACGCAAATCTCACAACTCAATATTTTGCAAGAAAGAAAGAAAAAGCACGTGCCACATTTTCAATGATGTGGTAAAACAGAGATGCAATTAGTTATACAAGAATCCGGGCGGTGCAATTAGTAGAGTTAAAAACAGTATGCATAAATTAATTACCGTTGTTCTGATTTTCTCGAGGACAGCTTTGCCTATTCATTCAATTGTATTGTTAGTGTTAGGTTTTTGTGAAAGTTTCTCCCACTTGCTTGCATAAATATTGTTGTGCCAAAAACCAAAAAACACAAAAGAAAAATTCAAAATAAAGAGAAAACATATAAGGCTGTATTTGGTTGCAATGCAAATAAATTTGCATTGATGTAAAACCATGGCAGTGCAAATGATTTCAGTGTAAATTCTGACCTATTTTTATTTCAAATTTTAGTTTATTTTGTTTGATTATAGTACAAATGAAATAAATTAAGGCATGAAGCAGAATAAAATAAAATCCAAAACAAAATTAAACAAGATATTTTACATTTGCACCCCCCATGCATTTGTATTAGTGGAAATAAATTTACAATGCAACCAAACAAAAAAGAATTATTACATTTCATATCAAGTTGGTTCAATCATAAAATAGTCAAAACGTAAACCAAATCATTTGAACACCAGCAAATTGAAGACATCCAAAAATCCCTTTAGAAACAAAACCTAATATGACAACCCCGAAGATCTACTACATGGCCAGTCTCGGCCCAAATTGGGCTCGCATCCAAGACCTATACGCACCAATCCTCAACTAATGATAAAACCCAATGACCATTGGAAGACCAATCTGCATCCACATTAAGGATAACCATCATTTGAATGATCAAACTTCTCCATGTAATGTGATACATCCCAAAATCCACAAAATCCATATACAACCATTTCTAACCACCTATGAAATCCAATTACCATTAAATTAGAAAAAAAATTCTATTTCCAACTAATTTAACCCAAAAAAGACCAAAAGTTAAACCACTTAATTATATCAAAACTCAAATATGACCCGACCATTAAACTCAAGACGTGTCAAAGTTTCTCCCATCTCAAAACCAAACTCATTGGATGTCAAAATCCATCATGTGACCATTACTGGTGTAAATCATCACGGGTCTAAAATACATACAATTTAAGCACCTAGTAAAAGAATCAACACGGCAAAAAAGATTTGGACCATCCACGAGCCCTTACTTTCAATTTTTACTACAAAATTTTGAATATTAACCATGAAATTTCAATGATTCCATCCTGATATTTCTCATTAGTTTTTCAATTTAGAGGCCCAAAAAGTTCATTTCAAACAAACTGTCCTAAGACTCATATTGACCATTCTTACATCACCCTTGTGTTGACCGTATGTGTTTTGATGATAAACAAATCCATTGAGAGTACTAATGAATGATTTAAGTGCGAAGTCGTAGCTATTGAGCTAAAATATTGCTATGAAGAATCCAAGCTTGAATGAAATGCATTGGGTGTCTATCAATTAACCTGCTATTCTCCAAAGAAGAAGGATGCTACCAAGAGTTGAAAAGAAAAAAAATAATAATATCAAGTTCCAGTGATCTACATTGTGTGTCAGTTTTTAGGACTTGATGTAAATTATTTGCATGAGATGCACTCTATGTGCTTGAACTTGACTTAATTCAAATGACTTTATCTTAGAGACCGATGGCTGGTATTAGCTCTACTTCTTAGGTGTTCTCGAATTCATTCTTCGACTTGATCTATGTTTGGAAGCTTAAAAAAATAATTTCTAGGCCATTGGATTCAATATCTCAAAGTTTTTTATGTTGTGAATAGTGAATAGTTGACTATCAATAAACCAATAGTTGACTACCTATAACATCCGAGGCTGGTGTTACCTAGACACTATTCGATAGTCAACTACAGAAAATCTATAGTCAACTATTTCTCACAGCCAAGGTTTCCCAAGCATAAGTTACTAATCAGTCGACTTCCAGAGAAAAATGATTTCTCTCTACAAGTGGTAATCCACTACTTGAAGAAAAATTTGACCATTTGAAGGCATAAAATTTGACCGTACCCGACAAATCTGGGGACAGCAGCCATGTCCCTCGTCAGACATCGTCACGCCTGCCACCTTTAGAAGGTGTCTTACACCTGACAGGCACGTACCCTGTGACGACGGCCCCGCGCGTGCCACCTCAGCCTTGCCTGTAACGGTTGTGGCAGACTGACAGTGGCAGTTATACCTGCCCTGTCAGAAGCCAGAGGGCCTGATGCGAAGGATTTCTGTTATAAGGGGCTTATTCTCAAGGAACAAGGTATCTTCGAACCACTTGCACAATCTGCACTCTTAGCCTCCGTCTTCCCTTTGCTTCTTACACAGAATACTGACTTAATCGTCGGAGCGTTCCCGCTGGGCAAACCCCCCGGGGATTCTTCTTCTTCCCCCTCGTTTCAGGTACCTCTCAGGAGCGACGTGAGTGTCAGCTATGAGTGACCGGATCGCACTATATCAACATCTATTTCCTCTTTGACTGAGCCTTTAACCTTAGAGCTGAAAAGAAAAAAGCACCAAGTTCCAATGATGTACATTGCGTGTTAGTTTTTATGACTTGGTGTAAATTATTTGCATGAGATGCACTCTATGGGATTGAACTTGACTAAATTCAAATGACCTAACCTTAGAGACTGATTGATAGTATTGTTTCTAGTTCATAGGTGTTCTTAGATTCACTCTTCGACTTGATCTATGTTTGTAAGCTTAAAAAAATAATTTCAAGGCCGTTGAAATCAGAATCTCAAAACTTTTAAGGTTGTAAATAGTGAATAGTTGACCACCTATAAACTAATAGTTAACTACCTATAACAGTCGAGGCCGGTGTTACCGAGACACTATTCGATATTCAATTATAGAAAATCTATAGTCAACTATTTCCATAGTCAAGATTGGGTGGGCATAAGTTAGTAATCAGTCGACTTCCAGAGAAAAAAGATTTCTCTCTACAAGTGGTAGTCGACTAATAAGTCATGATAGTCAACTACTTGAAGTAAAATTTGACCATTTAAAAGCATAATGTCTATTTCCTCTTTGGGTAAGCCTTTAATCTTGTTGAGAATATGTCTGAACATTTCCAAGTATAGGTTAATCCCTTTTCAAGGATCTATAATGGTAATATGATCTCTACCACTATAAATTAGTGGTTTTGGATTGAAAGCTAAAAATAACTTGATTGGTGAGTATTTGCTAAATGAAAGATAGCATTTATGAGCAAGAGTTTTTATTGAAGAGACCTTTGAATTAAATCAATTCTAGTGTGAGAAAAACTAACCTTTTTGCTTAATTATTTTCCTAGTTTTCTTGAATCTCTTCAAGAGTTTGAACCTATTGTATTGTGCATACTCTTGTAACTAATATAGTTTGCATTGTACTTATTTCTGTCAACCTGTTAAGAGGCATTTACTTTGTATTTCTTCTTTATGTTGCTACATCTATTGTATATGTGTTTTCAAATGAGAGCACCACTGTTTGGCACCCATAAGCCTACTGGTCAGGTTTGGTTGACATTTAGATGTTTCACTAGTTAGGTCTTGTAGGCACCTGGAAGCTCTACTGGTTGTAAGGTTTTGCTAGCATCCAAAAGTCAACTATTAGTAGAAATTCTCAAGAGATTTCACGAGGAGAAGACGTAGGATGGGGTTTCGCTAAACCTCTATAAATCTTTGTGTGCTTTACTTTTCAACAATCATTTACTTTATTTGTTCATTTTCACTTATTTGAATGTTCAATTATCTGTTGCACATTGCATAGCACACTTACATAGCCTTTCATTCTTTCAAGTTTGCATTCATTGTTTTAAAAGGCTTTAGTTGAGGGAAATCCTTTTAGTATCTAATTCACCCCCTCTTGGGTTAATCTATTTGGGC